TTCAGTATATATTGAGACTATAACATTATTTATATTCTACAGTTTCTATGTGATGAACTAATAATTTGCTGTTATTAACATTGTTACTCGTACGAAATAGCTAGGCATTTTTTTTTGAATAAGTTCTTTGTCATGCATTCCTAGATGAATCTAAAAAGTAAAAGGAAAAATGAATTCACATATTTGATTAATTTTTTTATGAAACATTTCAATGTGAAAACTTTACCAAAATAGTCGAATATGTAATTTGGATGTTTTCAGTATCTATATTTGTCGTCCATCTTGATTAGAGATCTGCGTGACCAGATTTTTTAGTCACGATCATGGTCACGATCTACCTGGTCACGGTAACGGTTGCGGTCATGGTAATTTTTTTAAGCTAGTCACAGTCACGGCAATTTTTTGAGGCTAGCCAACGATCACGATCATATCTGTGAGGAATTTATGGATTCTGTAACAGTTACAGTCATAGACATTACAAGACGTTAGTAAATAACGACCCAGGATGAAAATTATACGGAGAGTTTCTCTCAGAAAAACACCGGAAATCGCTGGAGTAGGGAGAAGTAATTGAGCCGGAAACTTTATGGACTCCTTCGAAAGATTTCGATCTGCTTCCCTGCGCTTTTCAGCAACAGCTGACTGGAAAACTTCGTACCAGAAGACTTCTTTCAATATTTCTACGATTTTCCAGGTTTTTCTGCAGGATACAGTGACTTTTCCAATATTTCGTGCCGATTTCTGTGGTATCCGTCCATTGAAATGATTGATTCGAAGTCTACTAATGATTATTGCAATAAAAGATTTTTGATAAAACAAGATTGGCTTATAAAAATCTATTTAGATCTTATGATATTCATTTTTGATATATATAAAGAACTGCGTGGTCCAGGCTTTTTAGTCACGGTCACGTATGACCGTGATCCTTTTGCAGACCTCTAATCTTGATATATTGTAACCAATAAAAATAAGAAATCAAAGTTTGATCAGCACGATATTTACAAAGAAACTATGAATTAATATATCATGAGAAGTGACTAATTGAACGAAACTTTCAAAGTTGAGGAATTTTCATTGAGGAGCATGATTAATTTCAGTTTGTCTATTGAATAATAGTAAAGACAGAAAAGACTTGATATATAGTATTAAAGGTAAAATTCTACGTGTTTCATAGAGAAAATTCTATGAACAAAATGTGTTGCTATTGGTCAAAAGTTACAAAAAGAAAGTCACATAATAGAAAAAAATGAAAAAGAAAATATTTGTGGGATGAAAGGCGAATGAACTGGCATCATTAATTTCAAAACATTTAAAAAGCGTTATATGAATATCTTCGATTGTCTCATATATCTGTCGAGTTAAATCAATCGGCGCATTTGTATCGGCATTAGTAAGCACAATAACACCAATGTTGTGATTTTCGTTAACTAACATCAAATGTGTCATGCCAGGTAAAGAACCACCATGACCTAAATATTGACGACCATTACTTAGTGTTCGCCAATGCCAGCAGAGTCCGTATCTTCGTGGTGGAAGTTGATTTGTAGAGTTAATGTTAGGGTTTATATTATAAGGTTGGATAAGACCACCACCAACTACTGTTTTCATTTCAACAATAGATTGAGAAGAAAGGAGTGGGTATCCATTATTGATAAACATTTGAAGAAAAATAGATAAAGAATGAGCTGACATTCGTAAAAGACCTGCCGGATAGCCACTGAAACCAAAAAAAGGAAAATGCAACCATGTTGAAAGATTACCCTGGAAAACGAATTATTCTTAAGAAAAAGATCTACAACAAACGAAGATATTTACCTTCATTTGACTGATATTTAATTGAGGCATTTCTTGATTCCATTGTTGAAGAAAGGACTGATTGACAGCATATGCATAATGCTTAACGAGTGCGTCTATGTTTTGAAAATCAGCCAGACGAACACCAACTCTCCGAATATCAATATTCAATGGTTTAAAAATATTTTCTTTAACATATTGATCATAGGGCATTTTGGTAACTCGCTCAACAACCAATGCAGCCAAAGATGTAGCTTCATTAGAATAAAGCGTTACATTTCCTGGTGATCTTGGCAACCAATTCGATGCGTTTGGACTCAAATATTTAAAACACATATCAGCCAACGTTTCTTTCTCAAATGCACTATCACCCAACTGAAAGAAAGTGCTCTGCAACTGGCCACCAACAGCAATTGATGATGAATGTGAAAGTAATTTACGCAACGTAATCGGATTAGTTGGAAAATCTGGATGAAAGATTTTTCGATAAGGTTCCGACAAATATTGGTTAACATCTGTATCAAGATCAACAAGTTTCTTCTCGACTAATTGCATAATAGCAACAGCAATGAATGTTTTTGAGATAGAAGCAATTGCAAAAACCGATTGATCTACATCCATAGCTTTGCTCGGTAATAGAGAATGGTAACCAAAACCTTGTTCATAAAGTATATTCGTGGCATTAACAACAACGATTGCTGCACCTGGAATATGAACTTTCTTAAGAGATTGCTCAATCGCTTGTCGATTCGGACAATTTGAATTGCTGCTAGCACTGACAAGAAAAGCCACAATAAGTGTTAATGAAAACATTGTTTTGACTTTAAAGTAAAAATAAGAATTGATTTTATATTACTGCAAGAGTCGAGAATAGAAAAAAATGTTCGAATGACGTGTATTTGTTATTATAAGGTTTCTCTTAAACTGTGCAAACTTACACAATGACTCAAACTCTAATGAAAATCAAAAGTAAAAAAGAAGAACAAATATGTAGATTTAGTTTTGATAAATGACATTTGAGACTAGAGTAATGATATGTTAATCCGATTTGTCAATCGTCGCTTAGCTTCAAATAGATTTAAAAAAACTATTAATCATTGCCAAGAATACAATAATACGAATATCAAAAAGTGTCTTCTATCTGTCGGTTATTATTATTTGCTGATTATTAAGTGTAGAGCAAGGGTTACATGAATTTCGGCCCATGACCACATTGCCCCCCCCCCCGCCAAAAAAAGCCTAATTTTTTAAAATCACTTGCTAAATATGGTAGGACTGAGCAGAACGTCATAGTGCTCAGCGGTGTGACGTAGTGCTGAGCAGAGCTGGGGTATGGGGTGTGAATGAGGATGTGGGTTCATAGAGTAGAAAGATGCACACCTACACCATAGAAAACTCAAACGTGTTCGGAAACCCATTCGAAAATTCTCAGAGGTTTTTGAAAAAGTTTTCGATCTCAGCAAGTGTTTTCAGGAATACCTTCTTGACTTCCAAACACTCTCGACCTGTCAGATTTTCAAGAATATTGATTTGAACGTTCTAAAAGTATTTTCGAATACTCCTACGCTATTTCACAAAACCTGATTGGTATTTTGGGAAACTCAGAAGGTTTTTGACGTTCCTAAATCTCAAAAAAGTATAATGGAAAACCTATTCCGACTGCCGAGTTTTTTTCAGAACTTCGAAGTTGTTCAAAGTTTCGAAAATCGACGAAAAACGCTTGCACAAGCACATTTGAAAATCGAAAAATCCTTTGAGAAGAACATCGCTGGTATTGAAATTTTCCTTTTTGATATTCATTTTTTCTCATTTCTAGAGATTTTTAGAAAACTGCAAACATCCATGTGTTAAGCACAGCGCATCTAATTAACAATAATTCAATAAAATACTCAGCTGTATATTTCGATTCATTAGTACTATTTTGACGGTAAGTAATATTACGAGATATACACGACTTTTCTCTGTATTAAGATTCATCACAATTAGCATACAAATAGTAAGTCATGTTAAAGTAATAACTAAACTTTATTTTCTATTTATCTCTATATTCATCAGAAATCAATGACGGCAGATCAAAAAAAGGAAATCTAATTTTTCTTTTTTATTTAGCTGTATATACTCATCAGACACAAATAGTAAGTAATCTTCAAAATAATAAATAATTTTTCTTTTGTAGTTAGATGCATAATCAGCAGAAATATGTAGTGAGTCATATTATAAATAAGTAATAATTCTTATTTTCCATTTAGTTTCATAGTCATCAAAAATCAATAATAAGTAATACGACAAAAAAATAAAGATCTTTACTTTATTTTCAGATTCAGATTGAGAACTAACACAATGGTAAATAGTATTTACAAAAATAAAGAAATGGTTTCTGCAGTTAACCTTATCTGATCTATTATTTGTGAATGGGTTACTTCATGGTTTTTTCAGCAGATTGCCTATTCTGTTGTTGTGACTGCGGGATCCTTTTTACTTGGTCTCATCTGCGCTGGTATACTTTTCGGTCTAAGAGTTTTATTCAGCTCGGAAATCTTTGATCCGTTTCTGAAATCAATTCTGTGAAGATCATTATAGTTGGGTTAGTTTAGGTGTTCCGAGCATTCGAAAACCCTTGTTCAGAAACTCTTAGAGAGTTTCAGATAGTAAAAACATTGAAAACATATAAAGGGTTTCCTGGGATTCTATTTTAGAGTGTGGTGTCACACGACAACGACAGAATAAACAAAAAGATCCATTGCAGCATGATTTCATATACTGTGTCATATTTTACTTTCTTTTTATGATATCTGGAATTTTTCTCTCCTTGTCTTGATCTTGCCGTGATCCCAGCGAAAACCTTTAGTGTTTCTGGCCTAGATCCTTTACAGATCCAATAAAGGTCCTCCAAGGATTCAAAGAATTTTTCTAAGGAAATTACTAAATTTCTGAAGAAAACGCTTAGGCACAGAGTTTCAAGATCATAAGCAGTTAACTACTAGATTTAAATCCAGATATTGGCTGAGGAAGTCGCAAATTCTGAAAGAAACATTTAGCCACGCAATTTCAAAGATTTTGACAGATTTTGGAACAAGATCTTCGAAGAACTTTGAGCAGATTTCTGCTGTCTTTATACCAGCATTCTGCCACGATCACAATAATTCCTAATTATAAGAGAAATTTCGGTCTACGTCTTGCAGAATTTTACTAGATTTCCTCGAAGATGTTATCAGATTTCGTCACAAGATCTTCGCAAGATTCCACAAAAAGAACAGAAGAGAAATGAGCATTTAGAGTTTTGAACTCTAGACCTTTGGTCTACAAATCGAACAGCTTATCTAACTGGATCGTGTCATGCTATTGTGTATAACTACAAATTTCCAAATCGTGAATTTCAGCTGAATTATTAACTTATAATTGAATTTTATTTTAACACAAATTATCTCAAAATAAATTGAAAGCACAGTATTATTTTAAATATTCTTTCAAGCTTACAAAGTTTCACCATTTTTTACTAGTTTAATTTCCATTTGAAATTTTTTTTCTGATTTTTTTAAAACACAATCCAAACTACGAACAGATATGACCAAATGATTATTCTCTCATTAAAAACAGATATTTAACGAAAACAATTAGTGTAATAATTCGACGGAAGTGAATACCCTAATTTAATAATTTTTCAAATTCTGTTTCAAGATAAAAAAACAAAAGAAATTGAAAACAAACTAACTGAAAGGTTTCCAAAAATCACATCTATGATCAAAAGTATTTGAGAGATCAGCCAAAGAAAAAATGAGAAGCAATTACAGAATCCCATTCTGATGTTGGTCCTGTTTTAAGAAAATATTTCGAACAATTGATGTTATTTTGTGTGTTGAAACATTTGACTGTTGAAAGAAATTAAAATAAACTATCAATCGTACGTAGGATATCTTGGAGCTGGATTCGAGTATTTCCAGACTGGATTCGCTTAGGAACACTTTCCAACGCTCAGATACAACTTTCCAAGTAGATCTCGACGAGTTCTATCGATTTCATTCAGTTATTCGTAGTCAAACCACTTCCTAGACCCCTAAAAAACCAAAAAACTGCTAAAAAAACTCCAAAATTAAGGTAAAATATTGTAAAAGTTGTAGCGATTCGCTCCTATCAACTTTCCAACGTTCTATTGCAACTTTCCAAGTAGATCTCGATGTACTCTATCGAATGGACTCACTTTTAGCTCAATTCCGTGCTTGTCTTGCCTGCGAATTTGCAGAAACCTGCTAAAATCCTAGATACTCTAATAAACTCGTTCCGGGATTCGCCCCTATCAACTTTCCAACATTCTATTGCAACTTTCCAAGTAGATCTCGACGTGCTCTATCGTATGGACTCACTTTTAGCTCAATTCCGTGCTTGTCTTGCCTACAAATTTGCAGAAACCTGCTAAAATCCTAGATACTCTAATAAACTCGTTCCGGGATTCGCCCTTATCAACTTTCCAATGTTCTATTGCAACTTTCCAAGTAGATCTTGACGAGCTCTATCGAATGGAGTTCTTTTTAGCTCCGTTCTATACTTCCGATGCCTGGAAATTTGCAAAAAACTTGCTAAACGGTACGTTTTTTGGGAAACCTGGCCTGGATTCGTTCTCTTGAACTTTCCAATGTTCCAATGGAACTTTCCAAGTAGATCTCGACGAGCTCTATCGAATGGATACCTTTTCAGTAGATTTACATGCTGGGATCCCCTCCAAAAATGCTAATCAAGTCTGAAAACCTGGTTTTTTTCAGGAAAACCTATATAGATTTGCTCGCACACCTGATCAAAACTTGAAAATCATATCAATATATAGAACTCGTCAAGCTCTATCGAATGGACACCTTTCCAGCTTGACTCCATGCTAGGATCCCCTCCGAAAGGGCAAATCCAGATATTAATCTAAGATTAATTAGAAAATTTATTGTTTTTCTGTTTTGTCTTTGTACCCAGCGCATAAAAGAATAAAAGAAAACACTAATAAATTGTATTTCCTTGAAAGAAAGGAACTAAAGATTTTTTGTTTCTTTTTCTTTTATTGTTTAGTTTTTAATTTAGGTTTTTTCTCATTTTTGCATTTCTTTTTATTTGAACGATTTGAAATGACGGTAAGAATATATATCAAAAGAATTTTTTCTTTTACCATTATCAATAAAACGTGAAATAACTGGTTCAAAAGATTATCCTTATGGTTACAATGGTTTAAATGATGAAAATTTATCACGTGGATATGATAAATCATCATCATATTTATTATCTGATTTAAAAGAAAGTTTTTCAATTGGACCTGAACATGAACAAAAAATACGTTGGCCAAGTAAACCATTAAATATGTCATTAATATGGTTAAATTATTATAAAGAATGTCATAATTTATCTAAACATTTATATAAATTATTTGCATTAGCATTAAATTTAAATGAAAATTGGTTTGATAATAAAATAAATGAACATCGTTCAGCATTACGTTCATTATATTTTCCATCATATTCATCATTATTATCAATTAAAAATCAATATCGTTCAAGTATACATACTGATTATGGAGCATTTACTATATTAAAACAAGATTATATTGAAGGATTACAAATATTAAATCGTTTAAATAATAAATGGATTAATGTACCTTTTATTGAAAATACATGTATTATTAATTTAGGAGATTTAATGTCTAGATGGACTAATGATCATTGGATATCAACACCACATCGTGTTATATTTCCATTAAATTAAATAAATAATAATTTATATCCATCACGTCAAAGTATTGTTTTTTTTTTCTCAAATTAATCCTAATGAAATAGTTAAATGTATACCAACATGTTGTTCAATTAATAATCCACCAAAATATCCACCTATTAAATCATGGGATTTAATTATGGAAAAATATTTAGCATCAACTCAAAAAAAATATTAATATTATATTATTATTAAAAATTAAATATTAAAATTTAATATCATTTATATTAATACTAATAAAATAATACTTTTAAACAATATTTAATAAATTATTATTTTTTCTTTATATATCAATGAATTTCTTGTATTCTCTGAATAAACCACAAGCAGATTTATCAAAATAATGTGATATAGTAAAAGTAATAATTCCAATATGAAAATTTATTTTTGATGATTAAGATAACCACAAGCTTAACATCTGTAGTATCAATACAAGTGAATATCCGAGATGACCACCTCGTATGACAAAAAAAAAATCTGTAACACACAAAAAAAAAAGATAAACTAACATGAATCACGCATTCGCAAAACAATGAGTGCATGAGAAAATAGAAAAAAAAGCAAGTGGCTAACAACAAAACATAATAATCTCGTTCGACATGCACCAGAGAAGAGAAGAACACCAGGACAACCACGTGGTTCAATACCAAAAACAAAAATTCTTGTTGCAGGTGCATCAATATCTAAAAACAAATTTTTTTCATCTGAATCATCAAATAATTATCTTACTGTTTTATGATGATAAAAATCATCAACATCATCAACAGGCAAAGGATTACCATGGTAGCAGAAATATTAAGAGCATATGCTATTATCCAGAATATAATCATGCACCATAACACTATTGGATTTGATAGAAAATCAATCCCCAAACCTAAAACAAAAGAATCTATATATAAAAAATGGAATTTCACACCATAACAACTATGAAATGCTAGTGACTATCTTACTCTTTTTTTTTGCACCAGTTAATTGATCTTGTTGAGGTGATGGATTGTCAAGTGTTGTAGGTGGTGGTGGTGGTGGTCCTTGATGTAGAATTGGTGGAGGTGGTGGAATATCAATTTCAAAATTGATATTTTTTTTCTAAAATATTTGAAGAAAAAAACATTTTCTTGTTAATCATAATAAAGTAATTTAATAAAATTTACTAACATAATTGATAGTATCTCTATCAAATCTTTTCATAGTACCGAATCCCTCCACCATCTTTTCAATAGTAGATCGTTTTTTCATCTTAAAAGAAAAACGAGATATGTTTTTACAGATTTTACAATTAATAAAAATTGTTCCATCATACGACGACTTATCGAGCGACAATTCTTTTTTCTTTTAACTGCTCTATATCGAACTAGATATTAAGGACAATATATATTATCTATTTGACCGATTCTCTACAGACGGATGTGCCTAGAAATGACTAAGCACCGTCATACTGATCTTATATCATTTCGTAATATAGAAGAACAACAATAATAGGATAGCGGTTAAACTACGTCAAGTTTACACAAAGAAACAGATAGCTCAGAAGCTGTAACTCTATAGACGAATATAACACTTTTCGTTCATAGACATAGACAATCATATATCATGCATGACATGTTTTGGAAATGACATCATTGAATAAAATAAATACAAAATAAATGCTGTATGTAAAAAATGCAAGCAACTGATTCATTAAATATGTTCAAATAGTATCGTTGTAAATAAAAACATGCATACAAATATTACTATAGTTTACAAGTAATACATATAGATAGTAAACATTTTTAAAACTGATACCTATTGAAGTATAGTTGTTTAGTTTCAACTAAGAGTATAAGTATAGTTAATTTATCAATCGTAATCATTAATCTTTTCCAAATGGAACTTTATTCAGCTCCAATACTTATCTCGACTTTTTTATCATAGAAAATAAAGTTTGTAGTAGGATTTTCTTCGATAGTTTATTATGAAATTCTAAATTTATTTAAACTGAATACAAAATATTGAAGTTCTAATAGTTGGAAAGCATGATGAAGCTTACTCAATACCTGAAAACAAAATTATAGGATTGATTCAACAAGAATGAATAAAAATACGAGCAAACTTATCAAAAAAGATTGAATACTGAATAATGCAAAGACTAGAAGTCTAATAGATGATGCTTTACATAAATTATATTTAACACAGCTAGATGTTTGAGAAAATTCGTAACGTTTCAAAATTAAAAAGATCATGCGATAAACGTTTATGAATTGATGCAACTCGTCGTGCATATGGATTAATTGTTTCTGAGTCTTATATTCAATTGAATGCAATAATCGATTTTAATATGTTTCAGTATAGATGTTTCCTGTTTTTATTATGAAGCTATCAATTCATTAATATAACCATTGTTCAAATTTATTAATGAATTCTAATTTAGATATACTCCATGCATTTTCAAAAACATATACTAGGAAGAGCGTAGACAGTGTTTCAGGTACACCATCAGTTGAGCTCCCGACAGTTGAGCCCCGACAGTTGAGCCCCCGACAGTTGAGCCCACCGACAGTTGAGCCCACCGAAAGACGAGCTCCCGATAGTTGAGCTCCCGACAGTTGAGCCTCAATTGATTACTAATGATAGAAACAATACAAGCATTGGATGATTTTATTCAACTAGTCTTAAATAGAAGACACAAGTGTGCGACATCTACACATGTTATTGAGGGTGTGGGTGTGGGTGTGGGTGTGTGGGTGTGGATGTGGGTGTGAGTGTGTGGGTGTGAATGAGACAAAAATTACAACCACATCCATACCCACACTCACACCCACACTCTCACACCCCCACACCCACACCAAAATATTTTCTTGGGCTTATCCTTTTTTCTTTACTTCGGGCTCAACTGTCGGGAGCTCATCTGTCGGGAGCTCATCTGTCGGCCGGCTCAACTGTCGGTGGGCTCTACTGTCGGGGGCTCAACTGTCGGGGCTCAACTGTCGGGGCTCAACTGTCGGGAG